ATAAATGAGTAAGGTAGAATATCAGAGATCAACCTCAGAGTTAGTTATTTAAAGGATCAGATCCTAATTTCAATATGCTTAGTTAGTTTACTACCTGCTTACAATAATAGGGCCTGGATATCACATATATTATTAATACAATATTAATAATAATTATTAATATGTTATTAAGATAATACCATATTTCATTTTCCATAACAATGATTTGCTGTTTAAATAAATATGAATAAGCCCCATTTTTTTGTAAGGACAGTCTATTTTCCTGATTTTTAGAACAGCCATCTTCCTGTTAATCTGATCTCTCCGAAATCAGTGGCTTTACTAAGATAAATCAGCTATCAATCCCCGCATTAGCTCAGAGCACTGCACTACTCAGTGGTTGCATGTTCTTAGACATATCACTTTCCCCCTTTGTGTCTGTTTCCCTAGTTGTAAAGACAGGAATATTAATATCTACCCTATAGACTTTAAGCTATAAATGCTTATAGGAGACAAAAAAAGGTCATTATATAGTAATAGAGGGGTAAATTCATCAAGAAGATATAACAATCATAAATATTTATGCCCCCATACTGGAACACCTAAATATATAAAGCAAATACTAACAGAACGAAAAGGAGAAATAAACAGCAATACAATAATAGTTAGGAACTTTAATACCATTACCAACAATAGATAAATCATCCGGACAGAGAATCAATAGGAAGTAGCAGATTTGAACAACACTATAGACCAGAGATTTTCAACTTTTTTCATCTCCTGGCACACATAAGCTAATTACTAAAATTCTCCGGTACACCAAAAAATATATTTTTTGCTGATCTGACACAAAAAAAGGTATAATTTTGACCCATTCCCACCAAATTGCTATTGTTGTGTTGGTTGTTGTCATTCTTTGTCTGATAATTTAAGGGAAAAGAGGTTAGTACCCCTGACTAAATAGTCAGTGCCCAGCCATGGCACACTGGTTAAAAATCACTGTATATAGCAAATAGATCTAACAGACATCTATCTACAGAACATCCTATCCAACAGCAATAGAATAAACATTCTTAAGCACACATGGAACATTTTCTAGAGTCAGCCATATGTTAAGCCACAAAAGGGAAATTCTCAAAAATTCAGACATATAGACCAATGAGACAGAACTGAGAGCTCAGAAATAAGCCCTTGCATACATGGCCAAATAATATTTGAAAAGGGAGCCAAGCAAACTCAATGGAGAAAAGTTAGTCTTCTCAATAACTGGTACTGGGAAAACTGGATATCTGCACGCAAAATAATTATATTTGAAAACTATCTTAAACCACTCACAAAAATTGACTTGAAAGGAATTAAAGATTCCAGTGTAAAACCTGAAACTGTAAAACTCCCAAAGAAAACATAGGGGAAAAAATCAGTCTTGGCAATGATATTTTGGATGTAACACCAAAAGCACAAGTAAGCAAAATAAACAAGCAGGGCTATATCAGACTAAAAAGTTTCCATACAGCAAGGGAAGCCATTAACAGAATAAAGAGGCAACATATGGAATGGCAGAACAAATATTTGCAAAAAATGTATCTGATAGGCAGCAAATATTCAAAATATATAATGAACTCATACAACCCAATAGCAAAAAAACCAAATAATCCAATTTAAAAATAGGCTAAGAAACTGATGAGACGTTTTTCCAAAGGAGACATACAAATGCCAACAGGTACAGGAAAAGGTGCTCAACATCACTAATCATCATGGAAATGCAAATATAAACCATGATGAGATATTACCTCCCACTTGTAGGAATGGCTATCATAAAAAAGACAGGAGATAACAAATATTGGTAAGGGTGTGGAGAAAAAGGAATCTTGTTCAATGTTGGTGGGAATGTAAATAGGTACAGTTATTATGAAGAATTCTCAAAAATTAAAAATAAAACTACATGAAGGGACCTAGAGAGTATTATGCTAAGTGAAATAAGCCAGTCAGAGAAAGACATGTATCACATGATCTCGCTAAAATGTGGAATCTAATGAACAAAATAAACTGATGCACAAAATACATCCAGAGACATAGAAGCATGGAACAGACTGTTGAGTCTCAGAGGGAAGGTGAGGGTGGGTGGGTAGGTGGGGGTGGAGGGGGAAGAGATTAACCAAATAACTTATATGCATAAGCCATGGACACAGATAATAGTGTGGTGAAGGCCTGGAGGGGTTGAGTGTGTGTGTGTGTGTGTGTGTGTGGGGGGGGGGGAGAGGGGCGCGGGGGGGGGGTGGAGGTCAATGCAAAAACAAAGGGGACATCTGTAATACTTTCAAGAATAAAGATAAACTAAGAAAAATAAGATGAGACTTTAAAAAATAAATGAGAACATTATTAAAGGGAAAAAATAGAATTACTATATGACACAGCAATCTTAGTTCTGGGTACATATGTGAAGGAAATAAAATCATTCTGAAGAGATATCTGTACCCCCGTGTTCACCACAGCATTATTTACAACTAGAGGCCCGGTGCATAAAATTCGTGCATGGGTAGGGTCCCTAGGCCTGGCCAGCAATCAGGACCAATCTGTGGGGTGACCAGCAGGCAATCGGGGTGCCCCCAATGGCACCCACCTTGGCTGGCCTGGGGTCTGCAGGCTGATGGCAGCTCCTGTGTTGAGCATCTGCCCTCTTGTGGTCAGTGTGCATCATAGCAACCAGTTGTTCCACTGGTCGGTCAATTTGCATATTAGGCTTTTATTATATAGGATAGTCAAGGCATGGAAACAACCTAATTGTCTACTGATGAATGAATGGAGATATATATATCAGGCCTGATGCATGAAATTGGTGCAAGGGGCTCAGCCCTCGCAGCCACAGCATCATCTGGAAGGTCGTTTGGCTGTCTGGTCTAATTAGCATATTACAATTTTATTTTTATAGATATATGCAATGGAAAATTATTCTGCCATATAACAAAGGAAATCCTGCTATTTGTGATAACATGGATACCTTGAGGGTATTACGCTAAGTGAAATAAGTCAGGCAGAGAAAATCTAATACCATTTGTTATCACTTACACGAAATCTAAATGAGAAAACTGACCTGATAGAAACAGTGTAAATTGATGGTTGCCAAGTGTGGTGGTTGGGGCAGATTGGTGAAGGAGATTAAGGGGCACAAACTTTCAGTTATAAAATGAATAATATGTGGCTATCTAATCTATAGTATGGTGACTATAGTTCACAATACTGTACTGTATACTTGAAAGTTGCTAAGAGTAAATCTTAAAAGTTTCCAACAGACACACACACATACATCAAAACAAGGTAACCATGTAAGGTGATAGATGTGTTAACTAACCATACTGTGGTAATCATTTCACAAAACTTATATATATCAAATCATCACATGGTACATACTCACACAATATTGTTTGTCAATTATATCTCAATAAAGCTGGAAAAAATCTATGCTACCTCATTTACCAGGGTAACTGTAAAATGCAATGAGATATATAAAAGCCACTTTATAAAATTTAAACTTTCCAAAAGTCTAAGGAATTATTAATTTTTCAATATTCACAATTATAATTTAATTCCATGCAACACTGGGTGTTGCCTGTGTCTTTAAGGCATTAGTTCTTTCAAGTAAGAAGGCTGCGGAAGGCTCAGATGACATGTACAATAATGATTATTAAAATCCAGTCAAATTCTACCATGAACAATTCTCTTACTGTAAAAATTCATGAGTGGTACAAAGCCACATATTTTTTGCAAAATATCCTAACATCAACAATTTGAAACAACTAGGTTTTGGACTTTGAAGGACAATATTCTGCACTCTAAACTGTGTTATTAGTTATGAAAATGCAAAATTAATCCCAAATATATTTACATAAAAATAATCATAAAAATCCTATAGAGCAATTTTATTAAGCAGTTCTACATGGCAAAGATCTAATGTGAAAAGAATGATGATTTGGAAATACGAGTATGAAATTAGGTTCTTAAAAAAAATGTGTAAATGGAAATATCCCTGGAAGTTATTTTTTTTGAAATGGGCAAAAATGCCCACAATATGTCATAAATGCTGGATTTCTGCTCAGAGCAGTGATGGAGAGTCACGCTGCCTGACACAGCAAGAGCTCCCGACAAAGGCTGAGAGTACCCGCACAGCAGGCTGGCTGCTCATTATCTAGAACGCTAGATAGAAAATTGTCAGCTTCCAATAGTTTGGTGGGATGAGGTATGAACACTGTACAAAGAACTGACAGAGAAAAGAGATTCAAAATCCTATTCCACTTCAAACGACCTCCCTGAGTGACCTCTGAATTGGAGCTGGGCTATGACATCAACATTCTACTCAACAGGGTAGGTGACTGAATCCTCAAGGACGCACACTATGGCCTAGAAATGCAACAATACTGCAAAACAGGTCCATGCAGGAAAGAGAAGAAATATATACACACACACACACACATATATATATATATATATGTATATATATATATATATATATTCATCATGCGCATCAGATGGCCTTCAGCAAGAATATAAAATAAATTTAGACACTGAAAATAGTCCCTGGAGAAAAGCAACAACATCTCACTAATCCACAGTCTATGAAGGTTTCAGCTATTCCAGAAGGCCACATTTCTTTTGCAATTCAAAAGTGATAATGCTTCTGAGAGACAAAAATTATTTGGATACCGTGTGTCCCCCTGCCACCTTCACCTATTGTCCCAAGCCTGGGGTAGCTATCTGTACCAAATACTGTGCTTTAAATGACTAGAATAGCCCTTGGTTTTCTTCCAGGCTCTTAGGATCTTCCTTTTATTGCTAGATTACTTCTCCCCTTCACTCCTCTCCCAGGGATTTGGGGAAAAGACTAAGAGGATTGCAGCAGCAGGAGGGCAGGTTCTAGGAGTGCCTCCCTCCATCACAGTTACTGTGCTAGCAGAACCTCTGCAGGCCGATGGTCTGGAGAACCCGTAAGCAGAGTTCAGTCTGGCTGGATTCTCAGAAAAACTTACAGCTTTCAATTTCCAAGGTGCAGTTTTGTTCATCCAGTGGGTACCGCCTGAGGTCCATCATGCAGGCAGCTGTGGTTGTGATTCTAGAAGAGAAAGAGCAAGGATACATGCTGTTAGCTGGTCCGCAGCTAGAGTTGGAAAAATTAAATCCAAGTATCAAAGAAGACAGAACTGGGCCTGTAGCAGACCGATTCAGCCAAAACTCTAATGAGAGAGAGTACAGCAAACTTTGGATAACCACTTATCCTTAGAACCTCGTGCTGATTTGTAAAATAAAGAGACTGGACCAAATCAGTATTTTCCCAAAGTGTGGTCCATGGCCTACATGCACAAAATCACCAGGGAGTGTTTGATAGACAGGTAGTTCCCGTGCTCCAGAATGCTGTGTTTTTGGGGGGATGGGGCAGTGGCAGGACTCTTATTTTAGGAGCATCACAGGTGATTAAAGGTATCAACATAGACATTCTTCTTCTGTTCACCTGGTTTCTCCTCCCTTTCTGTAGACCCTGAAATCTAATCTTCAACAATTTTGGCTTTGATCCATCATTTTTGAGCTTTCTGTGCATAGTATAGTACTTTGCAAATGCTTTAATACAAGTCACAATCAGCCTTCCATCTATCACCTGAATTGCTCTGTCCTGCCTGAGTGATCTTATATTCTTATGACCTGTTAGAGGGCTTTCTCCTATGGGCTAGCAGAGTTATTTATTTAGAACAGTTGGCTCTTTTATTATTTTATCAGAGAGAAATGAATATGTCCCTTTAATGTCTTTATGTTTCTCTGTCATCATTCTTCCATAATCTCTCTGCAGAAGGAGCCAAACAGCATACAGTTCTAGACGATTTATCAACATATGTTTTCTGAACAATGAGGCAGCAAAAGATCATGAATAATAATAAAAAAAACACAAGTCTTAGAACTCAACAGACACAGGTCTGAATTCTAATTCGGCCTCACTGACTGATTCACATCAAGATGGTTAATATCTCCTAAGCAACCTTAGTTTTTTTGTCTATAAAAAGGGGGGGAGGGGGATATTATTAACAGCAATAATAATTACCTAACAGGGTTTATGTAAGAACTGATATAATAATTTATATAAAGAATATAAGAGTAATGGCATATAATAGGTCCTTTAAAAATTCATATCTGCTGCCCTGGCTGCTGTGGATCAGCGGTCAAAGCATCAGCCTGTATACTGAAGGGTTGTAGGTTTGATTCCCAGTCAAGGGCACATATCTGGGTTGCAGGTTTGACCCCCAGCCCCCAGTTGGGATGCATGTGGGAGTCAACCAATAGATTTGTCTCTCTCACATCGAAATTTCTTCCTCTCTCTCTCTCTCTCCCCCTCCCTCCATCCCTCCCTCCTTCCTTCCCTCTGTCCCTCTTTCCCACTCTAAAAATCAATGGAAAAAATGTCCTTGGATGAGGATTAACAAAAGAAATTTTTTAAAAAATTACATCTGCTAAAGATAACAAAGAGTAGAAATTGATGTTGAATGTGACCAACTTTGCCAGACTACTCTGAGAGGCACTCTACTGTGTTTTGGGAACAGAGAAATAAGGTGCAGACAGAAACAGTCCATAGCTAGACCTTTTCCATTAAAAGGTCTTGGACAGAAGTAGACTGAGTCTGTGGAATTCCTGTTAGATGTGAGAGTCCTACTCCTCAGTTGTAGGATGAAAATACAGTAGTGACCCCTTATCTATGGCTTCCTTTTCTGTTGTTTTGGTTTCCTGCATTCAACTGTGCCCTGAAAATTAAGTGCAATGTTCCAGAAATAAACTATCCATAAGTCTTAAATTGTGTGATGTTCTCAGCAGAATGCAGTCTCATGCTGTTCTGCTCTGCCCTGCCTAGGATGTGAGTCCGGCTTTGTTCAGTGTCTCCACACTGTAGACGCTCCCCACCTGTGAGTCACTTAGTTGCCATTTTGGTTAGCCGATTGGCTGTCAAGGTATCACGGTGCTTGTCTTGTGTTCAGGTACCCTTACTTTCCTTCATAATGGCCCCAAAGTAGTCATGGTAGTAATTCAGACATGCCAGAGAGAAGCCGGAAGTCTTCCTTTAAGTGAAAAGGTATATATGTACAGGGAAAAAAACACACACAAAAAAAACAGAATCTATAGGGTTTAGTACTGTCTGTGGTCGCAGGCATCCACTGGGGGTCTTAGAACACATCCTCACAGATAGGGGGAACTATTGTGACAAAAAAGGAGGGAGCCATAAACAGATGCCCAACTGTGTAAATCAGTCAAGTTTGCAATCACTACTATAGGTTGTGGTTCACACTTTCTGCTGATACATATTCATGGCAGTTAACATCTGTGAACGAGTGTTGTGAACAAGAAAAAGAAATCGACTAATGATATCACAGAAGCACTGAGTTTACACTCATGCCTGAAAAATAAAGTAGAAGGAAGTGTTTTTCTCACATCAACAACACCCATATTTACTCCAGTGCTTTGCATCTTTAATGCGGTAATATACTTCATAAAGCTGAAAAATATGTAAATGTTTACTAGTTGATGCTTATGAGGCATTTTTGTCTCCTATTGGATTAAAGCAGAAACTCTGTAGCCAAAGTAATCCATTTGGAATCTTGATCATACAAGAGTGACCTGGGACAAGTGACTTGTATTCTCCAACACTTGGTTACCCTGAAATATCTGAATTAGATACTTGCCATCATAATTTGTTGTGAAATGCTAAATGTAGAAAGAATCTGTAATTCACAAAATATTCTGTAACTTTTGTTATTACTACCTGCTAATGAGAAGATACAGTGATAATTCATTTGACCAGTGGTTCTTTGGTAGTATACATATGTGCCTATATACATGAAAAAAATGTAGAAAAATCACAGACTTAGAGGCAAATCAGAGCTATACAATATGATGTAAATAGCTTCTGAACACATAAACATACAAAAAATATACCATATGTGTATATGGAGCTCTAGTTAATAGATTTTAAGACACAATACAGACATGCATCTGCTTGTTACATGTATAAGAAACCCGCATCTTTTCCATCTTTTCCAGGTGTTTTAAAAGATTAAGAACCAGAACTGTGTTTGTCTTGTTTGTATCTTAAGTACTTTGCCAGATGCCTGGCATGTGTCACTAATCCAAGATTAGAATAGCAATGATAATAATGAATAATGACACAAAGAAAAGGAAAGTCATGGTTATATGCATTCTCAAATGGAGGACATTGAAGCAACTCTCTATATTAAAGTGCCTAATTAAATTTAAAACATTCTCAAATAAGTTTGAAAGTCAAGTCATCCTTATACAAGAAGCCACCTGGGATGAATCTTATTTGGAAAATCCCAGTGAGGAGCATACAATCCATTCTTTGGGACTTTCTGATTTATAACAGGGGTGAGTTTCTCTGGGAATAAGAACAACAAAAATACTTAATGGGCTTTTCATGAACATGCCTTCCTTAATCCTGATAAACACCCCTAATGGGCCTTAAATTATGCAACCCCACTACTAGAGTCTTTGAAGGGAGGCTACTAACTCTACAGGATCCTGATTAAGTTTGAGGACCACTGTGAAACACATGGTGATGATTCTGTCTTTAGTCAAAGGAAAGAGTCCATGATGCCTCCAGAAAGTACTTCACTTACCAGTGGCAGATTCTCCATAGTTAAAAGTAGAAATGGGTCTTCCCTGGGGCTGAATACTATTGCGTGATAAAACACAATTTGAGAAAGGCCAATATTCTGACTGGGCTGAGAGATCTTTGAATAAACTCTTTATTCCTTAGCCACTGGGCACTGCTGTCCAAAAATGACTTGTGCTATAAAATCCTCACACAGTCCCTTAAAGGCATCTATAAAATCAAAATGTACAACAGCTACGCCAGAATTTTGTAGCAAAGCCATGCCTCATATTTAATGGTGTCATTATGTGAGATTTGATGATGCTACCATGTCATCCAAAGTTCGAATATGGCCAAAGAGAGTTAATAATAATAGATGCCTTTGCCCCTCAGCCAATAGGAAAAAAACTCAGAATCATAATCAACAGACATGTTTCAGGCCTTTCAGCAGGCTCTTCAGGAGGTGCTCAGGTTAAACATGGGTCTTCACATGTGAGAAACTTGCTAGAATTTCAACCAGAGATTATAAGGAAGTAACTTTGAACTTCAACTTTGCTTGAATTCTTTATCTAGATAACCATCCACATTCCACACAAAAAAATTGTTTTTTTCAACAACTTCCTATGTTTTATAAGAACATCAGGTGTTTCATCTACAACTATATTCAAAACACATTGCTCTAATTCTCAGCTTGCTTTTACTTTGTTCAAAAAGTGCTTTTACTTAAAAGCACAGCTTATTCTAGCCCTGGACTGTGTGGCTCAGTTGGTTGAGTATCATCCCATGCACCCCATAGGGGGACGTATAGGAGGCAGCCAATTGAAGTTTCTCTCTCACACAGATGTATCTTTCACTCCCTCTCCCTTCGTCTCTCTAAAGAATCAATAGAAACATTTTAAAAATAAAATCATAACTTATTCTAATTACAAAGAATAAAGGAATCCTGTAGCATTAGTAGGCATCATTACTAGAGAAAAAATAGTATGTTAAAAAGGTCATTTATCAAAAAAATATATTGATATATATTTTTGCTAGCTGAAAAACAAACTAATTAAAAATTTCAGCTAGAGGGGAAAAGATACAAATACTGAATTTTAGCATTAGAGTACAACCTGAAATTTTGAAAACTTTTAAGGATCACATCCGAGTCACTTCTCCCAAAGGTACTTACAATTTTTTTTTGCTTTTACAACTCAAGAAGACAAACACTATTCAGTGTCTCACAATCATTTTTAGCCAGGAAACTAATTTCTCACCTGTATCCCTCTTGTAATATGTTCTTGCTTGTTCTAGAGTAGGTAAGAATATTGCTGTAGGAGTTAGGTAACTCTGTCATTCTTAACAATAATAACATACCTCGTGTTAATTAATCACTTACTAAGTTCTAGACACCATCTAGGGTTCCTGAAATGTATCATCTTATTTAATACTAGAGGCCCAGTGGATGAAAATTCATGCACTGGAGGGGG